CTCGCACTTCAGGTTCCGGATATAATTAGTTTGAGGAGAGAGATTCGACTTACCTATGTAGGACTCTGGCATAAGTGCTTCGAAATTACAGAAGTAAAACGTGACGATCGTTCCCAGGATGACAATGACCATGTCGTATCTACGAACAATGGCGGGAATAGTGAAGGCGATGATATGACTGATGAGGAAGAAGACGAAGACGAAGATGAAGACAATGAAGCTGAAGCATTTATGGATGCCGAGAATGAAACTACAGAGGAAGCATCCAGCGACGACCAATCAGAGGCGGATTCTTTTATGGAAGACACGGCGAATAATTCACTCCCACGGCTGGGACTACGTGAAATTCTTTACTACGATGAAAATGTGGAAATCTTTCGGGCACGGCATGGAAAGCTATAGGCACTCGACATCTTGCGGTCTCGAAAGCATCTGGCGCTAGACTACTGACGTGTTTGAGGAATCCTCTTGGCGGCGTGGCCTGCACCTATTCGGGCTACGATTGCCGACAGCTTGGATTAGAAGTACCTGTCTACCGGGACCAGTTGTTGGTGGATATCATGCATGTTTTATGGAGGGAAAAAAAAAATTGGCGATGTGACGTACTAGGCATCTGAGATGAATATGGATGGATGGATAGATGGACGGATGGACGGACGCTCGGGCGGGTTTAGTCGTTTTTATATATGATACCTGGGGTGCGTGTTACGCAGCAAATAATAACAAATAGGATATCATCAGACTACTACCTACCTACAGAGGTATTGACTCGTGTTGGAAAGTTGTTGTCCATGGTACGTACATGATGATAATAATAGGTAACTTAGTACAGATACCGGGCCCAACAAGCCAACTGCAACTGACTGACTTAGCTAAGTTGTTTACTCTCCATCCAAGCTCCATCACACCTGAGGATTTTCTTGGTTCTCGTTACCAAAACCCTTCCCGTTGGGTAGCGATTCGGGGGGCGGGCTGAGCTGGCGAGCTGGCGCGCGACCAGGCACCCTTGGCGACCCAGCATGACGCAGGCGAATCACAGTGAATCTCTCTCTTGGGAAGGAGGTCGCATCTTCGTCGCAGCTGGCAAGCTTCACCGAGAAATCACAGTGTCAAGCTGCCTCGTGGGATCTAATGCAGGTACTAATAGTGGCAGGCCACAGTAGGAGGCCCCGCGGAAAGGACTGTGCAGCACCTTCCTCACCGTCACGTCCTCTTTCGGGCATGGTCGATGAAGGTTGCTGCAGGTGTGACACCAAGGACAGGCCAAGGGGGGGTACCACCCGCTTTACCGCTACTATACCGCTACTTTGGCGATTGCATCTTACATGTGTAGTATTATTTTCCGTTTCGTGGTCGTCTGCTGTCAGGCTCTCTGCGCGCTCGATAGTCAGATCCCATCCCCGACAAGGGCCCAGTTCGGCCAGTCTCGCCCGCCAGTCATTCCACGAGAAAACTTCTTTTCTGCTGCTGCCCGTCAGATACCAGCATGGTGCCTACGTGTGTCTCACTCTCACCGATACTTCTAGTCGCTTTCCCTCTTTGTCCTAAATCGGAGACGCTTGGCTTGCTTGCTGCAGAAAAGCACAAATGAACCTTGATCTCCGCCTCTTTATTAAGAACCGCTGCACGACGCCTGCTTTTTTTATTTAATTTTTTTTTTGCTTCTCCCTCGGGCCCCTGGCATATATACATATATATACGACTCAGAAAGAACACCTGAAATCTTTCTCTCTTTTTATTTATTTATAAATATACTACATTCTCCGAGTTTCCTGTGCCGGCGTTTCGTTTTATGAATTCGTTCAATCTTGTTGTGTCTTGAACATCTGGCGGAGTTTGGCGGGTTTACTTAATTATTTTCCCCATCCCGCCTATTTTCAAGTTACCAGTCAGCAGGAATCCTTCGCTTTTTCCGCTCCCACCCCTCCATGGATTCTTTACCGGTCGAGCTTTTGAGGCTCATCTACTCGTACTGTGATTTCGAATCAGTTCCCAATTTGCGCGCCGTGAGCCCCAAACTGGCAGATGTCGGTTATGAATACTTACTATCGCCAAACTTCACCTCGCTCAATTGGCGCCTTGATATCGATCGGCTACACAACATCGCACTCCACGAACGCCTCCGAGGGAGTATCCAGTCAATCAACATTTTCCTCGGAGAACTGTCGTACTATGATGCATGGAGTACCTCATGGTAAGTCCCTTGATTGATTGCCGTGTAACATCGCACCTCTCGCTGGGAGACTTTCTTCTCAGGGACCCGCACTGAGAGGAAGTGCTCCGGCTGAATTGCTCTTTTATTTCCCGTTTTGTCAGTTCCTAGCTAATATACACCTAAGTAGGGCCCAGCACTTTGTGGCCCCTCCGGAGGAACGTGCCGAGCTGATGGCACAGGCTCGAGTAGAATTCGACAGGATCGCAAAAGGGCGTAAGAAGGTCGGACCACTCCATCTGAGGGCTGACGACCTGCGCGAGGCCTGCTCGGCCTTGCCGAATCTTCGTGATCTCGAGGTTTCCTTTGCGCAATGCCCGTCCACGCTCAACAACAAGTTTATCCAGGAGGCCTTCTTCTGGCCCAACTGCAGGAAGCTGGATCGACAGGAAACGTACCAGAACCTGGATGCGGTTATGTTCGCTCTGCACGGGATCAAGCTCTCTTCGTTCAAAGTTGACAGGCTGCCGCTCGAGATATTTCGACTGAAAAACCACCGCCTTCATTGGTTCACCCATGCTCAATCCTTCAACAGCCTGTCTAGCCTGAACTTGACTTTGGATCCTTCCGGGCTCCGGGGACCGACGTCGGCATTCCGGGCGGTGAATGGACTGGGTCGCATACTTCAACTCGCCACGAACGTAACACATCTGAAGCTTGCTTTCCACCCTTATTCGAGCGAACACTCGAGATTTGCGCTCACTTTCGGTGAATTGTTTTTTGATTTTACCTACACACGACTCACCGACCTGGTACTAGAGGGCGTATCGTGTGATGAGGAGGATCTCAAGGAGTTCTTGGGGCGACACGGTACCACCTTGGTGCGACTACGACTAGGCGGTCGCGGGCTGGCCAAACCATTCGAGGCATCACACGGGGGTATACACCTCTACGAAGGAACCTTCCGATCGCTATTCACCGGCCTGCGAATGAAGCTCCCCAAGCTAGAGCGCATGCACCTCGAGGGTATATTTGATTGCGAGCACCAAGATCTGCCGTCGCACGAGACCTACAACTTCTACCCCCTTACCGACGAAAATTGGCAAGACGTCCCTACGCCGAAATGGGTTCGATCGTCACGCAAGACCATCAGCTGTCTGCCTTTCGAGCAATACGTTCTCAATGGCGGTGTCTACCCTGGCGGGAGCGTGTTGACGCGGGAAGACGAATGATTGACTGATCATCTTCTTACGTCTACGACTATCGCCTGGTACTACACGAAACTCGGATTGGAATCGGACTGGATCACATGAAAATTCTGTTGTTACCGCACCATCCCCTCTCGGCATAAACTGTTTCACGAGAGCATCATCGCATCACCCAAGGCATCTAGTAGCCTGGTGGCTGGCGTTTTACTGTGGTTTTTTTCTTATTTTTGTTTGTTTCTGGATACGAAAGCGAAGAACAACAGCGTATTGACCATTATGACACGAACCCAACCGTCCTGTCTCCACGCGGGACGTAATGGAGACACCTATTTGCATATGATTTACGGCCGCTACAATTCCATTTATAGACGATTTTGCACAACCTTCCTCAGGGAATGATTGGTATGGGTAATGCGGCGTTTTTTCTTTCTTTTCTTTTAAAGGGAAATTGGAATTTTACCAGAATGTTCGTGTTCGTTTGGACCTTGAGGAAGATGAGAAAGGGCTTCACGGTCGTACACACACACACACCCTCTCTCTCTCTCTCTTATTGGCATAACCTCTCCAGGATCTATGGTTGCATAACACATCACATGAGCATTGTTTCACGAACTGTACGGAAGAATACGGAGAGACAAGAACACGAACACACTCGGTTTGTCAGACTCTGCTTATTTCTTAGGGAGAGAAGAGGGGGGGGGAGCTTGGTGAAGATTGAATACCTCGGCTGTTCCAAGTCGTTGCATTAGATATCTAGCATAGACTGCGAACGGGTGTTTGCGATGATAAACTGTTCTGTACTACTCTGACTCTGTGCTCCCTTCACACGGCAACATTCCCTCGTGACCTCTCCGCATTCAGCTCTAGAATTAGCTTGCCCCAAGAAGATCTTCACGAGTGAGCAGCAGCAGCAGCAGCAGCGGCGGCGGTGTAAGCGTGAGTATGTAAACGGCGTGGCTCCACGTGAGTCGCCAACGACTTTTGGGCGGTGGAACTATACTAAACAAACCCGGGTGAGATTTCCTAGTCATATGTTCGCCTCTGAAACACATACACAAGAGAGCACGACAGGGTTCATTTCATCATCATCACGATTGGGCTTTCTTCTCTCTCTCGAAGGATGCGAGGAGGGAGGGGGCGGACATAAAATGAAAATCCTACTTGCAAGTCATTACATCATCGAAAAGAAAAGAAACCTCACGCCCCCCGTCTTGGTCATTCGTTTCGCCAGATGACCCGATAGGTCCGGTCCGGCCATCCCAAACGAAACGTTTTTTATTTCTATATGTAGTATACAACATATACTTATACATACTACGGCGGCGGGCTCTGTCTTGGACGCTAACTGTCTCTGGTCCGCGCGGAATGGTTGGCTATTTGCCCCGAATCACTTAGCTTGCTTCCTTGCTTGCTTTGCTGACAAGGCTTCGGCGTGGTCCGGTATTTCAGCTACCGTTACCCTACTACCGGGACCTGTCAAAGTTAACTAACTGGGTTGGTTGCGCTAGGGTTTTTTTTTTTTTTTTTTTTTTTTTTTTTGGCACTGTACTGGCTGGCTGGTGGATTCACGATGGCCTCAAACTCTCTCTCCCCCACCACAACGGGATCACCTAGCTACTGTTAGACGACTAATTCATCATGGCAACGTGGCTGAGTGGTTATAGCGTACGACTAGAATTTATAGAATTTATTCTATATCATCTTGCAATCGTATCCCTTCGGGGTCGTAGGTTCAAATCCTGCCGTTGTCGATCCATTATTCATCACTTACACTGGGACGAGTTGAGAATTGTTTTGTTGAGGAACACTGCGTGTGTGCTATATTCGGGTTAACGGGTTCCGGGAAAAGTTACTCTCGCAGGGAATTTTTTCCTGGTCTTTTTTTTTTTTTTTTTTTTTTTTTTTTTTTTTTTTTTTTTCCTTCCAGGTTCTCTCTGCCTACCTGGGTAGTGTAACCGTGGGGCAAGTCTTACATAGGGAATTTATGTAGGCAGTTTGAAGGTCAAGGCGAAGTGATTGGATTATGGCAATTTAAAAATAAACATACGAAATGCATCGAGATTGATGCTCAGTTTGACCCACTAGTACGACGTCAATCTAATACATGTATGTTGCATACTGCGCATTGGTATACTTATGATGAATATGGCATAGTAGGACCAACTGTGCTTTTACGAAATATCGGTACATACTGTGTGTATGTAGGTAGGTAGGTAGGTAGGTAGGTAGGTAGGTAGGTACGTCAACAATGAGGCTGACGATTACAATGCTGGCGAGCGAACAAGCTAAGTAGCAGTCGAATCCTGCTGACGAGGTCCCTACGTGCTGTAGTAGGCAGGGTAGGTATCAGAGAATTCGGCTACACTAGCGAAACGTCCGAGCGTGCGTATCCTATCTATCTGGCTTGTCATCAGCTGATCGAGGTAGAGTGCACATACATATCCAAGCACGTACGAAATCACCCATTGGACGGGGAGATTTTATCTTGGGGTGTGATCCGCGGATATACGGGTGACGAACTCGAAATAACCTACCTACTTACTTGTCAACATCGGGTTGTTTTTTTATTTTATTTTTCGAGTAGTACTAACTATGTAGCAGCAATAATACAATACGATACAACAAAGCTAAAGTCGGTGAAGCCTCGGTAATCCCGGTGATGACTGACTGGTCTACGATTGATTTGCGATCGAAACGGGCGGTCAGACCAAAAGAGAGCATTTTAATTAATTACAACCGTTGCACAATTTTGTCGGCTAGTCGAGGTTGCTTCTGATGACTAACTACCTAACGACCCAATGAAAAAAAATATGAATCATAACCTAGTTGAATAACAGCTAGTCAAGTCGAAAGCGAGCGGGTTGCCCGGGTCGGGGATCGCTGGTCGGGATAGCCTGGCTCGTAAAGTGAAAAAAAAAAAAATTGTGATCGGGGAACGTTGAATCCCAACACTGCGGATTGACTGATGAGACACTCATTTAGCGTGGTGGGACCCTGGGGGACCCGTCGTTTCGGCGATTGTATCCAGGTTCAAAGTTCCTCTTTTCTTTTCCTTTTCTTTTTTTAAATCCTTAGTTGCCAAGATAGGAACTGCAGCGCGTCGATGTGACAAGAGGACGGACATCTGCAAGTTAAACAGGTAGTACAGCAGTAGGTATGTAAACAAGGCATATAAAGTGTGTGCGTATGACTTTGGTTTGTGGAAGATATGTAATCTACTGTAGTTATACGCCTACTCGAATGGCCAGTAACTAACTGCCCACTAGATAGGTAGGCAGGTCATAAGCCACGGCAGGCTTCGTTGCCTTCATGTTGATGTTTGCCGCCGTGCTTCAGTGATAGCCCCCAAATAAGTAGGTAATAATGGTCGCATTGGGGGTCGAGTTGCGGTGGTACTGTGGTATTGTCGGATTACTTCACTCAAGCCTTGCTTATTCTCTTCTCGGCCGACGATGGAGACTGATGAATTGGAATCCGGTCTCGAGCTGCCGATCCGGGAGTTTCGGCTAGAGCCGCAGGGATAATTAGGCAGGGATTTATTTTCCTTTCTTTCGTTTTGATTGTTTCCCCCCTTCCTCTTCCTCTTCTTCTCCATTCTACTGTAGGCTTTGGTCATGGCGACAATTTAAATAAGAACGAGTCATGTGAAGTCGTGATGAGGCGTGACTAGTGCATGAAACATGATCAAGTTCATATGTAGTTCTAAAAATTGATAGGTGTAGTATGAGTTAACATCCATTATGTGTTTAGTTAGTCAATGACTAGTTTCACTTTGCTGTACTGTAGATTGTTGCATGCTAGATGGCTTTCTGAGACACATTGCCGAAGAGATTTGTTGCAGTGTCTCGGATTGACTCGGTTATTAGCACCGACAGTGGGGTCTGTGCATATATTCGACGTTCTCTCGAATTGTTTTATCTTGTTCACTTTAGGGTTCCTTTTCAGTAACTACCTAGGTAGCAACTTAAATACTATTCTTAATGTGAGACCGAGCATGTAAGAGCTTATAGTTTAGTGGCGTTGAGCTGTTGTATCATTCCCGTAACATTTTACTATAAGATGTTGTTACTTACTCGCAGGAGGCAGAGTAAGCCAATGCAAGGCAAGGCGAGGCGAGACATCACATACGACGTGACGTTTCCATGCCTGTAAGTATGCACCAGATGCAGACTCAGCCTGCAGAGAACGATTACCTATTAGAAAGAAAGAAAGAAAGTGGAAGAATTGGGTTTACCTATTTAGTATGTATTCGGTAGTGTTTTGATCATTTCCGTTGTTCCCGGAATAGTTTCGCCCTTTAAGTTGGGCCAGCCTGCCTCTAAGTAACCAGGGGTTCCCTTTTTATACGCATATAGCACCATACAGAACCCCCTCCACCCATCTCATCATCTGTGGAGAACCACGAGATGTTCCTGAATTTTGAAGGAGTGACCGCGCCCCTCTCCGCAGCAAACCATTCCGAAGGGGGACAACGGGTGGCTCGTTAGACAGGTGAGGATCTATCGATTATTACCCTCGGCGCCAAAGCTAATCTATAAGTATGTACTTACTTATACTGTATCGTATGTCTTGCTAATAGTTACCGATGCCTCGGTCATCCAGACGCCTCAAACTCCGCGCGCAATGGGATTTGTTTTTGTTTTTGTTATTGAGAATATCCTGCCTCTTGGTTCCCGGTTGCACTAGGCAAGGTACGGGAAGTAGTTAAAGCAGCTGCGCTGTACTTCTTATAGTTATAGTAAAAGTCCCGTGCTGTAAGTAATGTGAAGTGAAGCTTCTGCATAGAGCTTCAAGGTTCCAACGTCAGTCAGATTCCTTTTAAGTTAGCAAAGACACTACTGCACCTTCATGACCACACCACACTGTCGGCTACTACCTACATGTTCCTGCCTACATGCAAATTGCGTATGTCCACTGCCGGGCATGTACACTTCAGTAATGCCTTCGGCTTCGGGTACCTACGAGAATTATTCACTGTGAAAGAAGTAAGTACCTATCTTTAGTGCCAAGCAGCATCGGGGCTCCAGGGGTTGCGCCTGGCCCTACTGGAGCACACCACTAGCTTGCTCCTACAACTGGGTTGCCCGCCTGTCGAGCCTGTCTTGACAAGCCCCAAAAACGTCACTGTTGACCTGCAGACACTGACACCAATCCACGATCTGCAAGCCCATCCTTACGTATTGTATTTCCCTCCAGCTTTCTATTTCCCCTCTGACCCAAGACCCCGTGCCCGCGCTCGTGCCCGTGCTCAATGGTCAGTCACTCTTGAATCTCGCCGTCGCAGGGTCGCGAGGTTATAAGCGAAACCTTGTTATAGACTAAACCAATGATCTGCTGCTCATAGACTATCTATCTACCTTGATCCGCTTGCTGTTACACATTTGTTTGCGCTTACACGTAAATCGAGCCCTCTCCTCTCATTCCAGTCAGACCGGCCCCAAGTTACCCAATATCCTGGATGGAAATTCTTTGGTCCCGAGACCGACCATCAGTTCTCTGGCGATTCAAATAACCAACCAGTAATTGGTGTTGGGGTTGGGTACCTTCGTCGTCGCTACAAGAGCGACCGCCGCTCGTGTTGCCTGTACCGGCTCACCGGCTCGATCGCAATGCAGCGGGTTTCGTCCCTCCTCCCGAGCTGGGATCGTAATAGGTCGAGCGCCAGTAGTTACACCAGCAGTCATATTCGTAAGAACAGCGTCGAAAAGGTGCGCGGGTGGGCTGATAAAATCCCCTCGTCCCGTTCTTCCCGACTGGTCAAGGAAGCATTCTGGCCTACCACGCTCGATAGAGAATGCGAAAAGGCTGCCCGCATATTGAAGTCATTTTGCAGTACGTCCGACAGAACACCCTGCACTGCCGAGAACAGCCGGGCCCCGTGACGGCTTCTCTACTTACTGACACTGACCAAACAGGCGATGGCTTCTCGACACCCGACGAACGGCCCGGAAGTCCCTTGACACATTCGAGTATGCAATCGTCCAGCAAAATGTTAAAAAAGATTCCCCCGAGGTTAATACAAAACGCCGTCGGGCTGGCTATTTTCACGTCTATGCGGTCGGGCCTATGGACCTCGGGCTCCGGAGGCAGCGGAATCTTGATTGCGCGGAAAACCGATGGCACCTGGTCCCCGCCGTCCGGTCTGGTGCTACAGACACCGAGTTTGGGCTTCGTCATCGGCGTGGATATATACGATTGCATTTTGATCATCAACAATTTCACGGTTCTGGAAGCGTTTGCGCGGCCTAAGTTCACGCTTGGCACAGACGTCATGTTATCGACTGGTCCACTGGTATCACTGGGTTTGCTCGAGAACGACGTCACATGGACGGACTTGAGCGACGCTGCTATCACGTACGTGAAGGCAAAGGGGCAGTTTTCGGATGTGAAATTAGATGGCACCATCCTTCAGGAGCGGAGGGACGAAAATGAGAGATTCTACGGCATGACATTGGGGGTAGCCAAGATATTGTCGGGGGACGTAAACCAGAGCCTACCGCAGCTACGGTCTCTGACAGAAGTGCTGAAAGCGGCCGAGGGACGGGTAGATTATGACACAGCTCTAGTCGACTCGCTTTCGTCTCAGCCCGCTCCAGGTGATGCCACAATCGAGCCCTCGGTCGTTACACCGGTCTTGGCGCCTACTTTCGGCGTCCCTACGGTCGATGATCCGGATCCTTTTGGCGTCTTGGCTCTCGAGATGGCCGGCATTGGTATTCGTGAGGCTGGTTCGCATCTGCGGCCTGAGAGT